GGCCTACCGCTTGTACTAATAAAGTGCCAAGGGCCTAAGTGGTCACCTTAATATTAAAAAAAAAAAAAAAAAAAAAACTAGTAAATCGTACAAATGAAAAAATCTAAAAAATTTTAAACTTAATTATTTCAATAAGTACTGTATAGAATTTTATAATTTTTTTTTTATTTGAAAGCTTTAGATTTAAATAATAATTTGTATAATTTTTAGCTTTATATAATATTTATTTAGCTCAATATAAAATTTTGAAAAGTGTCTATAATAATATGATACCCACTGTAGCTAGCATGTAACTAACAAACTGGTAAATTCTTGCTAGTGTGGTGAGTGCTTGTGCGATAGTATTATATATCCAGGTGTTGGTGTCAAATAGAGCATTAGTAGGCTTTGGAATCTTGCTTGTTACAACTTGCATGAATTCTATATTATCTGGAGTGTCGATTATAAGTGAGACAATGTTAGTTTTGGTGATCTGGCTATAAAGAGGCTTGAATAGAGCTAGTGCATTATTGATAGTAGTCTTGTTGATCTTGTTAGGAATAGTAGTAAGAGGCAAGATATTTCTAGCTTGCTTTCTATTAGTAATGGCTGCAGGTAAGGAAGATGGGTTTTGTTAAGTGACTGAAGCCAAGACTAATATAATTTGACTCGAAAGTGTGGATAGTCTAGATACAAGGTTGGCAGTATAGTGCTGTGTAATCAAAGATGTATCGAATGCTGTTGTGCTAGTAGTAATATCTGTATCTATTGGTGTGAGTGCAGTTTTGGCTAAGTTTTTTTTGGTATAGTGGTTCCACTAGTGCTTCCATTAGATACATTGTCTGATTCGAGATTAGTTATATCATTGTATAGAATAAAGTAAAGATTAGCTGTTTGTTTAGCCTTCATATAAGGTTTTATACTATCATAGTATATCTTTATAATTGTTGTCATATCAACATTGTGTACAAATTTTAGCTACTTGGCATTGATATTAACTATGTTGTTTTTAGATAAAAATAGGTTAAAGAGAACTGATTGGCTTGGGTTTTCATGTTCATATACCCATTGAGAAGGGTAATCAACCAAGTTGGAGATTTTGCCAAATTTGGTAACATCACTATAGAAGAGAAAGTTGTCAGTATACTCTTGGATAGAGAAGTTGACAGTAAAGATAAGTTTGGTTTAGTCTCTAATAGTAATATTGACAAATTTTTTGGTGTGTTTTGAAGCTGATGATGTAGGCATTGTCTGGGTAGGGGTCTCTTTTTGTTCTGCTGACCTGTACTAGTAAGAAAAAATTTCTGGTAGAGGTAAAGCTTTTAGAGATCATAGTTTTGTGTTAAGTTTAGAACTTAGAGAAGCTTAATAATCTTTGTTTAATGTTGTTTTTGTGTAAAGTAGAGCTATTAGTCTGCTTTGTAATAGTAAAGTAAGAATGGTCCTTAGAACTGCTTTCGCGAAATAATGAAAAAAATTGCTTTTTGGTGTTTTTTGTCTTTATCTTATAAACGAGTCATTCTTTTTTCAAAGTTATACTTTTTTTAAATAGATTTGGGGGTGCTGAATAACTTTACTTAGAAGTCAGATCTCAAGTTACTTAGTAAATTTCAAAGATATAGCTGCAGGAAAATTTTTTTCTTGTTTCTATTTTGGTAAAGTGATCTGCAGGAAGAGTTTACATACTATTATGAATAAATTATATAAAAATCATTCAGTGCTTATATCAGACATATCAGATAATCAAGTTTTAGTCAAGTTTTTAATAGATGAACAAGTAATAGTTATTAGTTATATTGTAAATGATAACTAATTTAACATGTTTGATATAAGCATTGAGTGATTTCTGTATAACACTTTCTAATACAAATATGCAAACATTCACTTACCTCATAAGAGGTGAGTAAATTTTGTATATTGTATTAGAAAGTGACTGAATAAGTTATGTGGAAATCATTCAGTGATTACATAGGATGTGTTGGATAATCAGTTATTATTTATGATCTGACTAATAACTAATACTTATTAATTATTTACCAGGTGACAAAAGCCCATGTTGATTGGCAAAATTTATAATAAATTTGAGTACATTTACAGTAGTTAAGAAAGAAATTGCATAATTACTAACATGTCTAATTAACTTATAAATTTTTGGTATAAGACCAAATTTCTAATAATAAGTATATAAAGCTTCTCATCTTCTTTTTTGAATGTCATAAATTACATACCAGGCTTTTTAACAAATTGTAATACCTTTAAATTTATAACTTGTTAATAAATATGTTTTTGATATTCTATTTTTGAATTCTGTAGCATATATGCTAGTATCAATTATCTTAAGAAAGTATAAATTTGATTCATTTTGAGTTAATGCTTTCATTTCCTGAAATCTCTTGAGTGCCACTTGATAATTAACATATAAAAAACACCTTTTAGTACAACAACAAACTTGCTGTAGCTTTGTCAAAAATGTATCATCATTACTTTTACCTAACCGTTTTGTACAATTCTTTTTATTTTCAATTACTGCACACATTAGGCAAAGTTTAGATATTTTATAAAACTGTTTGACTTGGTCAGCATTAAAAAAATGATTAATATATATAATTAAAGATAATAAAGAAGTTTTATTATAAGTTTCATTATTATTTAAGTTATTATTTGTCAAATAAACATCTTGAAGCATAGATATTTACTGTTTAAGCTTTCTAACTTAGTATAGATTTCAGCAATAATATTATTAAATAAATTATTTTTATTGGTATTAGCTATCAAAAAAAAAAAAAACAATCTATTGTAATTATGAGTCAAATAGTTCTTTATAAAGAGAAGATTAATAAAAATTTAATTTATTATATTAAAACTATTTATCTAAATTCTATTGCTTGTAATAACTGTTTTAGTATCTATTGATATGCAGACATATGGTATAAGCTTGTTTGATGTGACTAAAACATTCCAATATCCTTAACTGCCAAGTTAAATTCTTGTGTTATATAGACAATAGAATTTACAGAATAACAATATTTATCTGGCCAGATATACGAATCATAGACATTAATAGTATAATTGCAATATACGAGGCCTTTAGCTACATGCTTTTGCTATTATCCTGCCAATATCCATATATCTATCAAATTATACCAGATAACAAAAAAGTATAAGAATCTGATCAGTTTGGTAAGAATGTAAACAGCTTTTATTTTAAAAATAACACTATACTAATCTGTTATAATTTTTAACCCTAGTAGTATATAATATTAGATCAGTATAACACAGCTTTTAAAATAGGTATTTTACACTCTATATTAGACTAATCAGGTTATATATACAGATATTTGCATTATCTAGAAACAATGCAATAATGGAAAGTTTGAGTAATTCTTTGTTATTTATATTATAAATCTGTATAAATTTTTGCTATAATCTTCAAGTTTTTATCTTCTTATCTCAGTGAATGGTTTCTATATATTAGTGTCAGACTTTAGAAAATATTCAATGTTCTATACCTAAACACAATGGTATAGATTATATTCTTGTACTATGTATATCTAATATTTCTAGCCAAAAGCTAGTGAATTTTCTGAAAGAAAGTTAAGCCCAAAGTTGGTTAATCTAAAAAAAAAAATTCTAATAAATAATAGTATTTATCAGACAAGATATACAGATTATAGATATTGACAGTATAATTGCAATATATGAGGCCTTTGGCTATGTATATTTGCTATTATTCTGCCAATACTTATATATCCATCAAATCATACTAAATAACAAGTATAGAAATTTAATCAGTTTGGTAGAAAAGTAAACAGCTTCTATTTTAAAAATGATACTACTAATCTGCTATAATTTCTAACTCTAGTAGTATATAATATTGGATCAGTATGATACAGCTTTAAAAATAGATATTTTATACTCCATAACAGATATATCAGGTCATACATACAAATATTCATATTATCTAGAAACAATACAACAATAGCAATTTAGAGCAACTCTTTGTTCTTACCTTGGTGAATAGTTTAATAATGAAACCTTGCCAAAATTTACAGACTTTAGAAAATATTTATTGTCCTATATTTGAGCATAATAGTGTAGATTTCTTGTATTATGTGTATCTAATTAATAACATTTCTAGCCAAAAGCTAGTGAATTTTCTGAAAAAAGGTTAAGCCCAAAGTTGGTTAAATCTAAAAGAAAAAATTCTAATGAATAATAGTATTTATCTGGCAAGATATACAAATTGTAGATATTAATAGTATAATTGCAACATATAAGGCCTTTGGCTATATATATTTGCTATTATTCTGCCAATATCCATATACCATATCCTATTGTAAATAAGTACCGATTATGAATAAGCACCCCTTGTAACAAAAATTGTCAATCATGAATAAGTACTTCCATGACTTGATTGTACAAATACATATTTCAAAAAAAAATTTTAAACATAATGATAAGTTGAACTTTGAACTTATAACAAGATAATGTATTTTTTTTTGTTATTAATATAGATATACGCAAACTAACTATTATTTTACATTATTGAAAATAACAGGAAAATTAAACTTATAGCAGTAGCGGCAAATTTACAAGCATTTTAATAGCAATTATACGTAGCAAACAATTCAAATTAATAATATGGTTTCAATACCTTCTTTATTTTCATTTTCATTATTGAATATAACAACATGCTCATTATTATCTTCACCTTTTTCAATTAATTCATTTTCTAAACTATCCAAAGCATTAGATATTCTATATCTTTTAAAAGACTTGACTATAATTTCTGGCGAGATATCATTCCATGCTTCCATAATCCAGTGGCACATTAAATCAGGCTCTGGCTTTTTTATATTTCCAGTTTTAGTAAATATATGTTCTCTAACAGCTATCCAAACTCTCCATTTATCACGAAGTCTGTTTTTAAATGGCTTATTAATACTTACATCTAAAGGTTGTACAATATATATAAGTCCTCTAGGTATAATACCCAAAATGGTATTGGCCTTTTGAATTTCATTTTTTACTGAATCAGTTATGTGTTCTTTAAATGAATCTAATATTAACAAAGATCTTCTTTGACTTTCAGCTTTTCACAACCAAACTGTTTTTATCCAATCTATCATTAATTCCTCATTTATTCATCCATTACTCTGTATTTTGATGATTAATCCAGGTGAAAACTGATCTCTGGGCTTTCATTTTCCTTTGAATATAACTATAGGTAGAAGCTTGGTACCATCTGCCAAAGCTCCCAAAACACAGGTAAAATGATTTTTATCATTTGCTGTAGTATGCAAATTTACTTAATAAGCACCACAAAGATCAAGTGTAAGAGCACCAACCATATTAAAAAAAATAGAAGTTTCATCTAAATTAGCAATGCAGCTTAGGTCAAAATTATTGTTTCTTCGTGATTGATTAATATTTTCATAAAATGCTGAAAGTTTTTCTTGCAAATCTCTAAGAGGTTTCAAAGAAACTTTGGTAGGTTTGTAAAAAGAAAAGTTGAACCAATTCATAAAACAATTAAACTATGAATCTGAAGCTTGAAATCTATACACATAAGGATAAATTTGGCTAAATTCAGTAACAAGTAGACGTTTTATATGACTCTTGACATCAGAAGGTGTAACACCTATTTCTCTTTCATACAAATTAATTATCCACTTTTTTAGTGATTCTTCGGCAAGTGGATACCATGATGAAGAAGCTGATCCTACTCTGCAGTTTATTTGTTTTGCTTTTTTTAAATCTTCTTCTTTTTTTCGCCAACATTAAATTGCCGTGCTGCCAAATGATTGCTTGTTTGTTTTGCATAGTTAATAGCATCAAGCTTTATATTTGCAAGATAACTTTTATGCTTCTCTTTCAGCATTTTTATAAAATGTGGATATAATTTATATAGTTTGATAAATATTCTTGTCAATTTTATGCAATATTCATTAAAAATATAAAAAAAATTATTGTCTTTTATATTTTTCTTTGACGATAACATCATAATTAGATAACAAATTATTAATTAATCAATTTATTTAACTCGAAATATTTTAATATATATACTGTCATAATTACAAACATTATTAATAATTAAATTGATTCAAATTTGATCGTTATTATTAGTTTTTGGCACAGATTTTTTACTATAATTAATTGGCAAAATATCACATAAGATAAAATTTTAAATAATGCAGATCCTATTGTGAATAAGCATCTACTACTATGTTCAACCTGGGTGCTTATTCACGATAGAATATGGTATCCATCAAATCATGCCAAATAACAAGTATAGAAACCTGATCAGTTTGGTAAAAAGATAAACAGCTTCTATTTTAAAAATAATACTACTAATCTGCTATAATTTTTAACTCTAGTAGTATATAATATTAAATCAGTATAGTACGGCTTTAAAAATAAGTATTTTACACTTCATATCAGACAGATCAGATTATACATACAGATATTTATATTATCTAGAAACAATACAACAATAGCAATTTAGAGTAATTATTTGTTATTCATATTATAAATCTGTGTGAATTTTTTGCTATGATCTTTAAGTTTTTATCTTTTTACCTCAGTAAATAGTTTAGTGACAAAACCTTGCTAAAATTTACAGACTTTAGATAATATTTATTGTTCTAGTTTGAGTATAATAGTGTAGATTTCTTGTATTATATATATCTAATTAATAACATTTTTAGCCAAAAGCAAGTAAATTTTCTGAATAAGATGCATATCGATTACTAGCTACAGGGTTAATTGGCATTGATTTATATCGATTATAATCGATTGCAATTATTTAAATTTAAATGATTACAATTGATTGTAATCAATATAAATTAATTGCAATCATTTAAATTTATATAATTACAAGCAATTATAATCGATATTAATTGATGCCAATTAACCCTGTAGCTATTAATCAATATGTATCTTATTTAAAAATTTTCTAATAAAATCTAAAAGAAAAAATTTCAACAGTATTTATTTGGCAAGATATACAGATCATAGACATTGATAATATAATTGCAATATATGAGGCCTTTAGCCACTTATAGTACATTTGCTATTGTTCTGCCAATACTTATATATTCGTCAAATCATGCCAGATAACAAGAAAGTATAAAAACCTGATCAGTTTAGTAGGAAGGTAAATAGCTTTTATTTTAAAAATTACACTATACTAATTTGCTATAATTTCTAACTCTAGTAATATATAATATTGAATTAGTATAGCATGGCTTTTAAAATAGATATTTTACACTCCATATTAGACAGATTAGGTTATATATATAGATATTCACATTATCTAGAAACAATGCAACAATGGTAAATTAGAGTAATTCTTTGTTATTCATATTACAAATCTGTATGAATTTTTTGCTATAATCTTTGAGTTTTCTTACCTCATAGTGAATAGTTTCTATGCATTAGTGACGAAACTTTGCTGAAATTTATAGACTTTAGAGAATATTTATTGTCTTATTATATCTAAACATAATGGTATTGATTATATTCTTGTACTATGTATCTAATTAATAAGATTTCTGGCCAATGTCTAGTGAATCGAAAGAAGAAAAATATCTCTGCTCCAAAAGACTTCTTTATGAGATTTTAATCAGGGTTACAGAAGCAGATAAAATTGAAAAAAGAAAATTGTGGATTAAGGGCTTATTTACTATTGATTCTTTTGACAGAATCAAGAATCTCTTAAACTACAGATTTGATAGAACTTGCCATGCATATGATTTGGAATAGTTTTTATAACTTTGTATAGAAAGACAGATGCATTAAGGTCAATGAATGGGAAAAAGAACAAAACATAAAGAAGAAGGACAAGAAAAAATCGACTAATAAAAAAAATAGCACATTAAAAGGAAAAAGAACAAAAATAGAGTTAAAGAAAAGAAAGTATCGTTAAAGGAAAAGGAGACAAAAAAAATATGGGATGATACTATTTTGAGTTAGATACAAAAGGGTGTAAATCCCTTTTAGACGAGCTCTTAAAAAGAGCGCTTTTTCTAGCTTATCTGTAAGCTAGTGTGATAGATTGCATCTAGATACCTTTATAGGCAACCGGGTGAAGTCGGGCTTCTAGTTAGTCTTAGAAATAAATGTATATAAATTAATTGGTGATCCACTAGTCAACCAGAGAATGATCATAGTAAAATGTGACTCAAATCACTTATAAAAATTGTGAGTCTCTAAATGTGGTGTGTGCGCATCTAAAACTTTTTTTTATACTAAGTTAATCACTTTTCTAACTTAAGAGACTTTTGTAGAGCTTGTTAAGATGCATCTAATGGTGGGTAGAGCATCAAAATTGGCTTAGTGTGTGCTGAGATATCTTTAAAAAACGTTTCTTTTACTATGTAAACTTCTTTGAAAACAATACTAATCAATATATTGAAAAAGATATATCTAATTAATATAGTAAAAAAGATATATCTAATTAACATAGTGAAAAATATATGTCTAATTAACATAGTAAAAAAGATATGTCTAATTAACATAATAAAGATATTGTTAATAAAATACAAAAAAGTCTAAATAATAATACTAAAACTAAAGATAATCGTTTAGAATATAATAGCAATAAAGAAAATTGAGGATCTAAAAAAGGTTAATTTAATTAATATATATTTATTATATATTCATATACTAATATATATATAATGAAGAGGTGTAGCGACTTAGTGTAATAGTCTAGTTATCACCCTCTCAAGTGGCAGGTTTAGAGTTCAAATCTTACTGGTGACGATATTTAAAAAATAGGCCTGCATTCAGTTGACAGCTATGCTTATCAGTTGGATCTAGAACTAAAATTTGTAACTTCAGTTATACTATCTAGTAATGGGAGCTTTGGTGCAATAAACTTGAGAAACTGGCATAACAGAAAACTCATTTGGAAAAACCTGAATTTGGAGGTAGCAGTAATCTTTGACAGTATCACAGGAGGACTGAATTTGAATCAGGCTCGAGATTGAAGAACTGAGTGACTAGGTCCTATGGCAGAGGACACATCGGCTAAACTGCCAGGTTGTCATACTAGAGAAAAAGGATATATGCTCCAAAAGTATGGACCTAAAGCCTGAGCAGACCAACTCTTCTGGTTAGAAGTAAAGGAGGGACCAATAAAGAATCTGGGTAAGAAGATGGTCTGAATGTGGGTACTGTAGTTGTTGTGAACTGAATAAGGGCAAGGAGTATGTAATAGGTGCCTAGTTAGAAAGGTTGGTGCTTAAGAAATATCTGTAGAAAGGCAGCACCCCAAAAGGTAATATGAGATACTAATACGGAATGGCAAATCAATATGTACTAATTAGGAAAAAATTATAGGAATATACAAGTGAATATATGTGTGGAACAAATATCACTCTGTTAGGTTTACCTTGAGAATAGATTAGCTATATATAGCTAGTTAGTCTCAAGATAGGAATTGATAAATCCAAATTGTGGTTAGTAAGTCCTAAGGTAGAGTGCAAAATCTACATAGGGTAAATACCAAAATCTACCTATATATAGTGAGAAATACTCTGAGTTAAAGGGGTGATAGTAGGTAGTTATAACCAGATAGTTTAAATGGGTACCCTCTAGTTGGTGTGCAGATATAGCAGATCGTGTAGAACCTTCGGGTGGACTACTTAAATTAGATACTCAAAAGGTGTACATGTAGCTTGATGTACTATCATTGTAATTATATTATAAACCCACTATCTAGTCCTCTAATAAAAAGTCCCCAGGCCAAAGAGGTCACCTAAATACTAAATATATATATATACTGTCCTATTGTGAATAAGCACTACACCCTCTACCCAATTTTTAAATATCAGATTAGCAATTAAATCTTTAGCCAAATTATTACTACTAATTTGATATTTAAAAAAGTGGGGTAGAGAGTATAGTGCTTATTTATGATAGGATACGGTATATTGAATTTTTATATTATAGTAAAAACTTTAATTATTATTAATAGTAATAATGATCAGAATCAAGAATCTAACAATAATGACTTGGAATTTACAAAAAACAATAATGGTAAGGATCATAAATTTTTAATTATATATTTATCAATATTTTTATATTTAATATATATTATTACTTTCAAGAAGTTACAAATTTGTAACAAACAACTCATTTTCAACAAACTCAAAATATACAAAAAAAAAACTCACTCAAAAAACAACAATCTTGAAAAGGCAAACAATCTAAAAATAAAACTAATATTTAATTATAAAATTAATAGTATAGTATATACTAGTATTAATTTGTATACAATTACAATTAGCTATTAAAAATTATATTTAATAAATATTTATTATATATAAAATTTATATTTATTATTTACAGAATTTACAAAAATTTATATTTAATTATATTTATTATATATGAAATATATAAAAAATTTATACACAATTATATTTATTATATACGAAATACATAAAATTTATATACAATTATATTTATTATATACAGAATACATAAAAAATTTATACACAATTATATTTATTATATATGAAATACATAAAAAATTTATACACAATTATATTTATTATATATGAAATACATAAAAAATTTAGACTCAATTATATTTATTATATACGAAATACATAAAAAATTTATACGCAAATATATTTATTATATACGGAATACATAAAAAATTTATATACAATTATATTTATTATATAAAAAATATATAAAAAATTTAGACTCAATTATATTTACTATATATGGAACACATAAAAAATTTATACACAATTATATTTATTATATATGAAATACATAAAAAATTTAGACTCAATTATATTGATTATATATGGAATACATAAAAAATTTATACACAATTATATTTATTATATACAGAATATATAAAAAATTTAGACTCAATTATATTTATTATATATGAAATACATAAAAAATTTATACACAATTATGTTTATTATATACAGAATTTTACAAAATTTATACTTAATTATATAAAAATATATATATAATTTAAATTATTAATAAAAGTTTTCATATAAAATTCTGTATCAAGTGATGCAGAATTCGCCTTCAATTCTATATATTTATATATAGAAATTTATAAAGAATTTATACAAAATTTACACAGAATTTATACAAAATTTATACAGAATTTATACAGAAAAGTTTAGTATAATTCAAGATAATTTCAGTATATATTTTTTTATAGGGATATATAGTGCTTGAAAAACTCTGAAAATACAATTAAGCAATGCTAATCTTAATAAAGGGAGCAAAGAAGCAATTAGTAATTAAACCAACACAAGGTAGTTGGGGAACCAGAGATATAGATAGAACAATACATAGTATGATAAAAGAAAAAGCTTTTATGCAGTGTGCAAAGATGCTAAAATACTTAGATCTAATATTTATTGAATAGATTTTAGATATGCAGGAGAAGCAGATGATTACATGGCATTATCTTAAACGAGTCAAAGAAAGATCTAGTAAAAGAAAAGTTCCAATCTGGTTTAAGTCAATTGAGAATCAGATTATCACTAACTTTGATACAAAAGAAATAAAGCAAGATTTGCAAACAAGTAATACAAACAAATTAGTATTAATACCCCAAAGAGCAGTGTTGTCAATTGGACAGTTTTGGACATGTTTTGAACAGGTTTTGGACAGTTTTGGACAACTTTTTATATGTCCAAAACCCTGTCCAAAACTATTAAAACTGTTAAAATATGTCCAATTGACAACACTGCTAAAGAGTGAAGGTCTCAGAAGACAAACCTAAACTTGATTGGATACTAGTCAACAACAAAGAGAACAAGCTAGATATTCGAAGAGTAATTAGCAAGAGCAAAGAAGAATTTCGCACAGAGAAGTGGTTAGTTAGTAAAGAAGAGAAAGATAAAATTAGAATAGATAAAGAAGCAATTATATTAAGCAATACCCAACAAACAGAGTGGATCAATAACAAAAAAGTATTGCAAGGGCTTAGAAAGCAAAATAGTAGTTGGGTTCTTGATATGACACAAAGCTTACTTGAAGAAATTAGAAAAAATACTATTGATCCAGAGATAACTAGTAGGAGAAAATAAGTAGAGACTTGTATAGTTTAGAATATGCAAGCCTGGCAGAGCATAGCAGAAACTCGTATTTTTACGAAAAATCACGGATTATAAAATTCAGGTGATTGGCTAATTAATGTAGATCCAAACATGATTGTTGACCAATCAAATCAATTAAAACTCTTTCGATATGCAAAATACGTGAAGATATATTTATTATTAACAGTTAATAAAAAGTAAAGAATTTTTAATGCTAAAATAATTTTATTTTATTTTTCAACTATTAGATTTTACTGAAAACATGCGCATTATATCTAACATGTTATTACACCATAATCTATATTACAGTAATTAAATCACTTCATGTATTTACTATACTATGAGATAGTTTTCTTTTTTGTCTAATATATAATACATATATATGTCTTAGTTCAGGTAAAATAAATCGTTAAAACGTTTATATTGCTTAGCCTGTTTAATAAATATATAAAGTTTTATATTAGTATAATGCTCACGGTTTAACAATTTATAAATCTATTGTTTTGGCTTCATAATTTTAACATAGTAGAAATTCAATAAACACTGCTAATAACCAAACAGCCTACCTTTGTTCTTATGAAAACTTCCTAGAAAAAGCGATTGAAAATAATTAGAAAAGATTTTTTGCTAGAAACACTCAAAACAAAGAAATTTTACTTATTAATGAGGGCACCTTGAGTTTAACTTAATATGGTTAAACGGATGGTGAAATTGCCAGTTTTTAGACTACAACTATATATCAAATTTTTAATTGTACATATCCCTTAATATGTAGACCAACGCAGGCAAATTTGCCTGCGTTTTTGCACTTTTTTAGCTCTGATTTACTTTT